ACACACACACACACACACACACACACACACACACACACACACACACACACACACACACACACACACACACAGACACAAACAGCACCACTTGGCGCTTTGTCACTGTAAGTCACCTCAGAGACTGACGCAGAGCTGCTGCATAAAATAAAAACACCCCCATTCACCACAGTAACTCTTCACCATTCTGGTGCTGCCTGGTCTGCTTAAAAAATGGATTGTTTGGCTGTCAGAAAACATACAGGAGACCCAGAGATGGGGCGTGACACACTGGGAGGAAGGGAAGGACAAATGGAGGGAGAAAGGTTTAGGTAGTAGAGAAGGTGCAGAGCAGAACACAGATATGGAAAAAAACAGGGAAAAACTAAACATGGAGATGAAGAAGGGAGAAAAAGTAAACAATTGAAGCCAAGTTTGAGAACTTAAGTGAAGAAAAATTGTGTGGAAAGTAGCAAACAGGATGCTGTTAGGAAGCCCACGGGGAGTCTTTGGGGTCCCCGGTTGTTTGTAGCTGCGCGTGAAATGTGTGCCTTCAGATACAGGCAGCATTCCTCTAGAGATAAAACCCAGGGCCCCCAATCCACTGAGCCCCCACCCTCTCCGCTCTCTCCACCCACCATGCTTACTCAAGTGTGTGTCTGGCCCTGTGTGCGAGTGAGTCTGTGTTTACGGAGGATGAGGGTCTGCGTGCCCTGAACCAGAACACTCTCGCAGGGGGCAACAGAAAAGACAGCTGTGAGTTTGAGAGAAACGGAAAACTACAGAAAGAGGCAGTGGAGGGCCAACAGGCATGCCAGTCAAGACCGTCACTTTTGGAGTGAGTACCAACACACTGCCATCTCTGTCTCACCTTCCTCCTGTTCCACCTGACTGGACCTCTAGCTGTCTCTTTATTTCAACTTCTTTTTTTCCATCACTTCCTGCAGAGTTTTCTTGCTATATATTTGGAATGTTTGACTCATAAAAACCCTTTTCATCATGTCAAGAACTTCTTCTTTCATATTTACTTTGTCTGTAACATAAATAATGCTGTATTTGCAACATCTACTCTAATTCCAGGTGATTATATTCAGGTAATGCATCTGCTTGTTTGCTCACATGAGCTGTTCTGGAGATTTTACTACAAACTCTCATTTCAAGTCATGAATTTAGATCCGAACACGACTTCTGTCCCTCGCTGTCAAACTGATTGTCATTTACAACACATATGGACTTCTCTAATGCTCTGAAGAGGCGATGGAGTGTTTAAAAACTTCACAGTGGACTCGGTAGCCTGGGAGTATCTTGTGATGCATGTGCATCCAAGATTAGTGCAAGTGCATATGGATGTTTATCGTTGTAGGTTTTGTGACTTAATCTTGTTTTTGACTCCATCGTTTCTCTATTTGAYGGTCACATTGTAGAGTGTTCACCAGGATTAGCTGTGGTAAGTAAACTATGGGGTCATTAAACTGATTAGAGGGTCAGTGAATAAAATGTTTTCTCTATGGCTCTGCTGAAGACAACAGACTGCTTTAATTTATTAAGACTCTCATGAATGCTTCACAGATGTTCACAAGGTGCTTGTTTCATGTTCATAAGGATTTTGTCTTATTAAAAGTGAAGGTGTTTGTATAAAAATAAAAAAATATATATTTAGTTTGAACTACASTCACTTTGACAAAGGTGTCAGTTTAATCAGTTGAATGTTATTTTTATGCTGAAACTTGTTCTTATCTTAATTTATGTGGTGCTCTTTCTCACAAAGGTAACTAAAAAGTTACCAGAAACAACAGAGGCTTTGGCTTGGTGCTCATAAGATTACAGGGTTTAGCAAATCATCATCACTTTATGTTTTGTGGCAGTTTAGGGGTTTTGTCAGATACTGGATTACATTTTAAGGAGGCAAAGACTGACCTTTGTTTTCACCTTTGCAGTTTTTCAGCCAGTTATGTACCTACAAGTGAAAAAAATGTAGGTTTAGTCATTTTACAGCTCCAGATATCTATGAAAAAATGGAGTTTGTCAGCTGTTTCACTTAAACAAAAAGCAAAACAAAATTTTCTAAACAAACTGTTCTAATAAGCAGAATGCCTTACATGTGAAATATGTTCAAAAGAATAACATAGTGGTAGATTTCTTGTAGCATACTTCCTGAACTTTCTACAACATGGTGGGGCCATTTTTCAGATGTTACACATACTTTAGCACAACAGTATATTCTACTTTATTTTAAATGGGATCATAGTTTTACTAAATTAAGTTTGACTTGTATTGAGAGACAAATTTAATTTTGATCATAAACTCAGCAAGCTAATTTTTAAATCAATTTATAGATTCAGACATGTCTGATTAAAATGATTTTATATTCTACAGTGTCAGTAAATGCTTTTATACTTAAACTTCAAAAATGTCCTGAAAATTATCTTAGAATTTTTAAAACACAACTTTGGAAAAGTCTTGAGTTTTAAAATGAAGATTGTGGGAAAACTCAAGAATAATGAAAATAAAAAAGCTGGTCCAAAAAAAGTATTTCTGTGAAACACCAGCTTCATGATCATAATGGATTATTATGAGCCATGATATTCATGCAAAACAACCTGATATTTGTTTTAAGATTTACAGTAAGTCAGCCAAAAGTGATGGAAAGGATAGATTGAGTTTATTAGACTTCAAAGATTTCAAGTAAAGGATGTTTAAAAGGGCCCTGTGATGGACTTGCGACCTGTCCAGGGTGTACCYTGYCCCTCGCACTGTCACTGCTGGATATGGGCACCAGTGACCCACGCAGTGTACAGAAAATGGATGGATGGATGGATGGATGGATATTTAAAAGGGAAAAATCACATCACAAAAAGACATATGATTGCTTTTGTAGAGCATTTGTGTATTTTCAGGTAGTGTTTGATAACAATTTTTTTTTCTTAGCACATTGTATCAAGTTAAAATGTAAAAAGAAAGATTAAACTAACAGTTAACTGAACACAACTTTTTCATGTTAAGATGTGACTGAGGGTTTCTAAAAAACAGCCACAAAGATGTCTGTGCTGTATGTATTCAGATACTTCAAAGACTTTAAAAGAAATATTGCCCCCTCCCCAATGCAGGACCTGCTGGGGTTAGGGGGTGTTTGCACCTGTTTTCCCAGGAGACACAATGACGCATCACTCACATTACAGCTCAAATATTGAATATATTATAATATTTTAGTTTTTCATTGTTAGCCTATTAGTTCTTTTTATGATTTCCATAAAAAAAAAAAACAAAGCAACATCTGCAGCAGCTGCTGTTTTCTCTCCTGAAAGTAACAAACAAATTCCTGCTCTTTTAACGTTGCAGGATGTTTACTATAAATTCATCTGATGCTTTATGTATAGCAGACCCCATCTTCACCCTATGGCTTTCACCCTCTTTGTAATTCACAATAAGGTCACAATAACCATGACGATAATACCCATGACAATCTCATCTACAAGCGCTGAGGCTGCAGCGGGGCCGCTTATAAAGAGACAGGGAACAAACAGTGGGCTGCGGAGCGGGGGTCCCTCAGAGTGTGAGAAAGTAAACAGTATAAAGTGGGACAGTCTCCTTTAACACGTCCAAAGGAGAGGAGGCAAAGACACAAACAGTCAAACAGGTTGGAGATTGTAACAGCTTCAGCTTAGTGCCTCACTTCCTGCAAAYGTGCAATCCCACTGCTCTCACTCTGACACTTCAGACTTTTACACTTCATACATCTCTGCTGCTGGAAACAGCCTGCTGACAACTCAACCTCTGCAAGGAGTTGAAAGCATGAAAGATGGGGAAGCAGTGGAGAAGAGAGGAAAGAAAAGTCAGCAGAAAAATGTGATGAAAAATGATAAAAGCAAACTGCAGGGATTAACAAATCCAACATTTTGTTTTTCTGTTTTTCATTCCATTAAGTTCAAATAAATCAAGATTTGGAGCTAAGTGGGGTTTAAATTGGCCCAGCTTGTGTTGTTTGGAGTTCAGGAAATGGAGTATGTAAAGCAGTATGTGACATGTTGAACACCTATTTTCACCTTTTGCTGGATGTGCACTTAAATTATTTATGATTTGCACCTGGTGCTGGCTCTGCAAATTTCCTTGTGTTTGCAAGGGAAAGTTGTCTCTGGGTTTTTAAGCTGTGTCATTGTTTAAATAGCTATTTAGCAGAGAGATTTATTCTAATGTTCTTTGGAAAAGCTCCAGGAGTTTTGCTCAGGTGACAAATGTCAAAAATATTCTGGGGTTTCCTAAGATTTAGTTATAAGACCTGAATCGATTTTGGTTAAACACTTAAAATACGTGGTTCCTGATCAATACTAAGGGCTTAAAATTAAGGAAAATGTCAGACTAACATTTTTCCCCAAAGTTTATGTTTTTAAAAATATTTATTTTCTTTTCATTTTGTTATTTTGTTAGGAAAGGCAAAAACTGGACAGACATTTTACTGATGGTTGTAAATGTTCATGCTGGGAAAGTAATTTAAGATCATGCAGTTTTATGTCTGCTGTCCTCCTTCTGAACCTTTTCATTCTTACTTCTCCCCCTCGCACATGCACACACAGCTTGAATGTGTCTTCTTCAGAAGTGTCATCAAAAACACACATTTGATTGTGAAATAAAATTGTCATAAAAATCTAGATTCTTCAGGGTCGTTGGTCTGTAGAAGATGAGGAYGACTCATCTTGCTTTTTTAACATACACGAGCACATATGTGTATATTTTTGGACACTGCAGTCCTACGGCAGTTGGGGGGGAGTGGGGGGTGATGTCATCTTGTCTGCTGCTGCACCAGCTGAGAGACAAAAAGCAAGAGAGAGGCACATGTAAGAAGCAGGAGGTAGAGAGTGAAAAACAATAATAAACGGGGATTTTTAGGGGGAGAGAGAGGATTCCCTGTTATAGATGATTATTCAGGATCCTTTTTTTACTCAATAATGTGGGGCTTCATAATGAGAAGCCGTACTCCTTGTTCCCCTGAGGTCAGCTGCATGCACGTTGCACGACAGTGTGTTTTGATACTGCCAATGTTAACCAAAAAGCTTCTGCAAAAGCCCATTGTCTGCTTCTTTTGCGCCAAACAGTGTGATTAATGTGACTGCTCGTTTCTGCTCAGYCCAACAGCCTGAGGCTTGTCCACGCTTTGTGGGAATAATGAGAGGGTAAAGTGAGTGGGAGGTGGAGGGTGTGTGTGTGTGTGTGGGGGGGGGGGGTGGATTCATTCAAAACATATCCAACAAAATTTGTGTCTGCTGCATGTACCTGTTTGTGCCATTTCAAGAAAACGGGTGTGGTTCTCCTGCATCCTTATCTCAGTGCACCACACACTCACTTGTTGACGTAAGCTGATAATCACACTGACATGCAGACACATTCAGAAGTCAGAAGATGACCCTGGAAGGGCTAAAGTCAGGATCACTGCAGCGCTGCAATGCTGCTTTAATGAGAACAGACAAATTCTGTTAGCTTGTCTGTCTTTGCATCAGCTGCATCTGTGAAGAGGAATTTTTGTTTTTTGAGCGTTGAGTCTGCAAAGATCGTATTCAACARGAAGCTTCAAAATTTAGCAAAACGAAAGTTTAAAAAAAGAGTTCAGGGAATTCACAAAGTTAGTTTTATGCAAGAACAGTTTATAAAGAAAAATGTTGGTGAGTACTTTGACAACCGTGTGTGTGTTTGAAAATGTGTCTGTGCATTTCTGCTGGGGTCAGTTTGTTGTGAAGCAACAGTTCAAATGGAGGAAGTTATTGTCTACTTCCAAGTCACCCAAGTGAGAGTGAATGAGAGTCTTTGTACGAAAAGGAAGAGTCTGATTAACCAAAATAGAGGGGGCACAACTGTCTACTGAGCAAAAACAAACCTTTGGTTTAGAGACACTAAAATATATATTTTATATAATCTGTTCTGTTTACCATTTTTGACATTATACAAATAAATATATATATATATTTTGTTGCTGTTTTTCCTTTCTGCAATTTAAAATCCACATATATTTCTCAGTGTGACTTGGCTCTTAGTGTGTGGTGTGAGTCTTATTTGTGAGCTAAGTAAACAAACTAAAAAATATATTGTTTCTCTGAAGGACTCAGAACGGACATCTTAAAGRATGTTGAATATGATTTGAAATAAGTTCAGACTTTGTGTGAACTTAAACAGGTTTGTCAGACATTCAGCCAGCTGGAAGCACCTTCTTAAAGTTTCACTTTTCGTGCCAGCAGACTCCCCCCACCACCAATGACCCATTTCTTTGCACAGTTGTGTTCCTCTAGTGTCATGCTGAGGGTGTGTTGTGTCATTTGTTGCTAAGCCTCTACTTCAGGCATGCGGATCTTTTCTCTGTTTACTAAAAGGCCCTCTGCCTCTCTGTCAGAAAGAAGCAACAATCCTGTCACAACAGCAGTTAACTAAACATAAAGCTGTGTCTTATAGAGCTCTGCAGCATTTTTTTTTCTTTTCGAGCAGAAGTTGAAGGATTTGAACACTGTAGGACTATATTTGTGTGCAAACAAGCAATGATGGGTCTGTTTTTTTTTCCTGGTCAGCATGTTGAGATATTTGGTCAGGAGAGGGACTGGAGTGGGAGAGGAGATTATGTAAATGAAAAGAAAAAGTGCAGATTTTGCTGCAGTTGAGTTCTTGCCTGTGGATTTCCTCCCTTTTTTCTCCCAATCCTGCTTCCCCCTTTCTCTTTTCTCGCTTCCCCTCCTCTCCCTTGCCCGCTGTCTCCCCCAGTGCCGCATGAGTGATCCTGTTTCAGCAGCACTCCTGCCTGCCTGGGAGAGGCTTGAAGCCCTCAGACACAGACAAAACACAGACAAAAACACTAAACGTGCCGTGTGTCAGCCAGGATCCACTAAAGCCTCAAACTTTTTTACCTTATTTTTTTTATTTTTTTTAATAAGGCCAAAGAGGTGCTGGACTATACCTTTCACCAACTCATCACCTGAGTAGCAGACAGGGACACAGTCTTCATGATTTCCTGAAGCCACTAGCCTCAGTCACACCAATTTCAAGCTGCAGAAGCAGATTTTCAAACTGCACTGCAGAATCTCATGGGAGGAGGGAAATGAGAGGAAAGCTGGTGGACAAGGGCCATCTCGTCCTGCGCCCGCCTCTTTTCATTAAGATACTAACCAAACGCTCCCTCTCCACTTTTTTCCTCTTCTTCCTTTATGTGTCTCTTACTTTCTCTTAAATCCTTCACTTCCTCCCCTTCCGTGTCCCCACTTTTCTGTTTCTCTTCCAGGCAGATGCTGGCAACAGTTTTCTCCGGGCCGCCCGGTCTGGCAACCTGGACAAGGCCTTGGAGCACATCAAAAATGGCATTGATATTAACACAGCCAATCAGGTGAGCCAGAGCACATTCCTTAGATTAAATTATCTGACTTCAGGTCATTAGCTGGATGTTATATTTAGATTGCGCAGGCTATTTTTGGCTTCCTAKTTACATTAGGTGACTTTGTAATGTACTGCACAAACACTAAAACAGAAATACTTGATCATTCTTTACATTTTAATCTGCTCACCATTTGTTTTACAATTCTTTCAATCTGCTTTTTAACAAATTCATTAGAATTTCAGATAACTGATCATTACCCCATCCTCACCCCACAATAAATAAATAAATAAATAAATAAATAAATAAATAAATAAATAAAGTATATTATAAAAAAGGTCAGTACAACCTTAATATCTGCATTAATGGTGAAGTAGGTTATTATGTTTATTTATTTGGTCCTGATATCATTTAGATGCTGGAAATTAAATGCAGTATTTATGAGTTAGAGAGTAATTCTAAAATAAACAGACATTTTTTTTGCATCCTGTTTTGCTCAAGTTTTGTGCACCACCATTAACTGTGTTTATATTTCTGTGTGTTCTGAGTGTGCACGAAGTGGACATTGTGCTGCTCTGCCTGTGTGCTTGTGGTCTGCATGATCGGTCAGAGTTATAATCAGCGTTTGGAGGTGACAGGTAGACTTTACAGTGTCTCCAGAGGAGGTACTAAATGGTGCAAGTTATTTTTGCTGCCTCGTCTCCTCCATCCTGCTTCCTTTACTCTGACAGTTGTTTTTAGTGAGTCTAGGAGGAAGCGATGTTGCTGGGCCAACACTGAGGCCCCCAGGCTCTTGAAACTTGGGCGAAATCTTGCATGTGTGCATGAGAGACACAGCCGACTCATTAACCCAATCCTCCTCATGCTGTTCATAGAAGGAAGAAAACCTGTCCAGTAACAGAATGTTTTGGATGCCACACTTTTATTTTAATAAATATTTGGAATTCATCATGTAATCATCTCTTTGTTTCAATGTAATGTGCTTGAGTTAAAGTGATCATCTGCAGCTCTTATGCCAATGTTTTACACATGCAACACTTTGCAGTTATGTAGAAAAAGTTTTCAACTCTTAAAAACTTTTTTTTTCAGATTTCATTAATTTTGCACTGGTTATTTGTAACACAGAAACACTACATTTTGACTGGAAAAAGGTTGCATATTGATGGAGAAATACTATTTTAAAGCTGCAGATTGTCCCTTTACTTTCTACAGTGCCAGTATGCTGGGTTTGTTCAGGTGGAGGCAGCTGCAGCAGCTCTGCCTCGTTCCTGTCCTCCCTCTAATATTTCTTTGCACATCTTCCTCACAAGCTTCTCATTTTTATAACTTATTTTTACCTTCACTTTTGCTTCTGTTCCCGTCCTCTCGTTCCTGTGTCTCCAGTGCAGTGATGGTGTGCTGTGGTCTCCCCACTCAGAGGAATAATATCAGTGGTGTGAGAAAGGTCCAACCTCACATGTCCTGTGCGGCTGAAGGAAGGCTGTGTGAGGTTAGACCTATCCCACAGGGCTTGTATTCTTCCCAGCCATGAGACCATCGGCCTGCCATCCCCTTCCTCCTCCTCTAATCATTATCAAATGTATCTTTTATTTATTTATTTTTTGCTAATGACCATTTTAAATTTGGGAGTACTGCATGTTTTATAGCCACTGTTATGTATTTACTGTGTGCTTTATGTTTGCTGCAAACCACGTTTCAGTTGGCATGGCCCTCGTGTGACTGTGTGTTTTGGTCATTTCAAACATGTTAATGGCGTGTGTGTGGGACTCTTCAGTATGAGGTCTGCTCTTCTCTCTCACTCAGAATGGGCTCAACGGGCTTCACCTTGCCTCCAAAGAGGGCCACGTCAAAATGGTTCTGGAGCTYCTTCACAATGGAATCACACTGGAGACCACCACAAAGGTAAAATACGCAGCTAACAGTGCTACGTTTATAAATATAATATAGTCAGGAATGCTAAATGTAACCTTTGTGTTATTAAAAGTGTTTTTTTTTGTTGTTGTTCTTGTGTTTGAACAGAAAGGGAACACAGCCCTGCACATTGCGGCCCTGGCAGGGCAGGAGCAGGTGGTCACGGAGCTGGTAAACTATGGGGCCAACGTCAACGCTCAGTCTCAGGTGAGACCCTGCGCTTCAATCACACAGCGGTGGTCCCAGGACACACTGCGGCTGCTCACAGGGTTTTTACTGTAGTAACTGCTGCAATTCCATCTGTTAAACTGTGTCTGTTTGTTGGGTATTTCTGTGTGTTTGTTTCCTCTCTGCGTACATCCTTGTGCGAACATCTGTGACTGTCTTTCTGTCGTTATGTTGTCTGTGTGTCTATGTGTGTGTGTATATGTGCACCTGTCTGTTGTGTCTTTCTGAGACAGAAGGGTTTCACTCCACTCTACATGGCTGCACAAGAAAACCATCTAGAGGTTGTGAAGTTTCTTCTGGAGAACGGAGCCAATCAGAGCATTCCAACCGAGGTACCAACAAACTGAGAGAGATGGTTTTAAACGATAAGCTCCCAAATTCCTCAAACCCATCTTCTTATTCACCCTCGCTTTGTTTCCATTAAGTTTTGTTTTTCTAGCCCCCCTCTCTTTGCTCTCTGTTGTTCTCTCTCTGAATCAGTCTCCCTTCTCGTTTGCTGCAGGATGGATTCACTCCTCTCGCTGTAGCTCTTCAGCAGGGCCACGAGAACGTTGTAGCCCTGCTCATCAACTACGGCACCAAAGGAAAGGTCCGCCTCCCTGCTCTGCACATTGCAGCACGAAAYGATGACACACGCACGGCGGCAGTGCTTTTGCAGAACGACCCTAATCCTGATGTCCTCAGCAAGGTGCTGCACAGATGCTGTTGTGAAGACATGGCTGTGTTTGAGTCTTTATGGTTTGTCTTTGTGTTTCTCAAATGCAAAAGTATCAATTGTCACATGTTCTCTGCAGACTGGATTCACTCCCCTCCATATTGCTGCACACTATGAAAACTTGAACGTAGCTCAACTGCTGCTCAATCGAGGAGCAAATGTCAACTTCACCCCAAAGGTAGGAAACGGATGCATAACTACCCTCGCAAAGATAGAAGATTAGACTTTTGTACTTGCTTTGTTTTGTATTTTTATATAATATGAGCTCATCTTTGTCCGTCTGTAGAATGGCATCACCCCGTTGCACATCGCTTCCAGGCGGGGGAATGTCATCATGGTCCGACTCCTGCTAGATCGAGGAGCACAGATTGATGCCAAGACAAAGGTGCAGATGGCCTCTGTCACATCTTCTTGTCATTCTTTCTGATGTAATGAATTTTCAGCAAATAGATAAATGATGCTCTCTTTTCAGGATGAGTTGACTCCTTTGCATTGTGCAGCCAGAAACGGGCATGTCAGAATTATAGAAATCCTTTTGGACCACGGGGCTCCCATCCAGGCAAAGACCAAGGTAAACATCAACAAACATCATCTTTGGAACTTAAATTGGGATGAATTTTTGAAGGTAATTTTTAATTTGACAAAAGAACCACTAAGTTGTCCTTTCTTTTAAATTAGATGCAACCACAAATATGCCTGACAGCTTTTCTGACAGCTGTCCTCGCAGATCCTGATAGCTCATTTGTGCTCCAGTCTTTTAAAAGCCTGAACCATCACTTTCAAAGTGATTTGTAAAATATCCTATTTGAGCAGAAACAAGCTTATTCTGTTTGCTGTTTTTGATGAAATAAAGTCATAGTCGCTGCTATTTGTGCTGATTGTTTCCCCGTGGAAAAAAAAGAGTCTTCATCTTTTCTTGTTTTGCAGAACGGCCTGTCTCCAATCCACATGGCAGCGCAGGGGGATCACGTGGACTGCGTCAAGCAGCTCCTGCAGTACAACGCAGAGATTGATGACATCACACTGGACCACCTCACCCCTCTGCATGTGGCAGCACACTGCGGGCATCACCGCATGACCAAAGTACTGCTGGACAAAGGCGCCAAACCCAACTCGAGAGCTCTGGTTAGAGACACATTAACCTCGATAAAGTTTTAATTTCATGACCTGATTTTGAGAGGTTTGGTCACACCAGAAACCCTGAAATGCTCTTCGACTGTAGCTCATGGGTTATTACTGAGACCAATGTTTACATGAGCTGTGAATTTCATCTGTTATGAAAAGCCTGTCTTACTTTTTACCATTATAATGACATGTTTGTGTTTACAGAACGGCTTTACTCCGCTGCATATTGCCTGTAAAAAGAACCACATGCGTGTAATGGACCTCCTTCTTAAACAGTCGGCATCATTAGAGGCTGTAACTGAAGTAAGAAAGGAAATAAGACTCCTTCTTATTTTAATAAAACATCAACACATTAAAAAAATTCCTACAGTGTTCAGATTTCCAAGTGAATTTATAGCTTCCTGTATTCTGCTGTTATCTTGAACAGTCCGGCCTTACTCCCCTGCATGTGGCCTCTTTTATGGGTCACCTTAATATTGTGAAGATCCTCCTGCAGAAAGGCGCTTCTCCCAGTGCTTCTAATGTGGTGAGAACCTCACTGTGTATCTATAACCAGCCTAAATGAACAAGGCAGAATAGAATCTGACTGTGAGATTTGTCTGGTAACAGAAAGTAGAGACTCCTCTCCATATGGCGTCCAGAGCGGGACACTGTGAGGTTGCGGAGTTTCTGTTGCAGAATGCAGCACCAGTGGATGCTAAGGCCAAGGTAGATTGTTCACAGCAGTAAATGCACTTTACATGCGTTAATAACAAATGTACTGGAATTGTTTCTGTTATGTTTCATGGTGCTTAACAGGACGACCAAACCCCTCTGCATTGTGCTGCTCGGATGGGTCACAAGGAGCTGGTGAAGCTTCTGCTGGAGCACAAAGCCAACCCCAACTCCACCACCACAGCTGGACACACACCTCTGCACATCGCTGCCCGGGAAGGTCATGTTCAAACAGTACGCATCCTCCTGGACATGCAGGCTCAGCAGACCAAGATGACCAAGGTAAAACTGGTCTGCTGGAACTATGTGTGTAACATTTGGCCCTGGAAACTGTCAAACTAAACTGTTTCCAATATTTTTGTTTCCACTGACCTCTTGGTGGCTCTGCAGAAAGGTTTTACTCCCTTACATGTGGCTTCTAAGTACGGTAAAGTGGATGTAGCTGAGCTGTTGCTTGAGAGAGGAGCCAACCCCAATGCAGCTGGCAAGGTGAGAAAAACAGATTTGCTTGTGAAATTTGAGAAATCATGAAAAAAAACCATCAACAAAAGAAATCTGAATCAAAACTAAAACTTTGGACCTGGGTTTTACAGAATGGTCTAACTCCGCTGCACGTTGCTGTACATCACAACAATCTGGATGTAGTTAACTTACTTGTTAGCAAAGGAGGGTCGCCACATAGYGCTGCGAGGGTAAACCAATATACATATATCTACATTTCAAAACAGTTAAAACACATATTTCTCTAAAAACAGCTGATTTGTGTTCTGTAGAACGGCTACACTGCCCTGCACATTGCCTCCAAGCAGAACCAGGTGGAGGTGGCCAACAGCTTGCTGCAGTACGGCGCTTCAGCCAACGCTGAGTCTCTGCAGGGAGTCACACCGCTCCACCTGGCCTCGCAGGAAGGACGGTCTGACATGGTCTCCCTGCTCATCTCCAAACAGGCTAACGTCAACCTCGGCAACAAGGCAAGAGCAGATTATTAAAGAATAAACCCTTTAAATAGATTTAGAATAACAATGATGTCTGAACAGATTTGCTTTGCACCCTAATTAGCTGTTTTGTCTTTTCACTTCTGTAACCAGAGTGGATTGACACCCTTGCATCTGGTGGCCCAAGAGGGACATGTGGGCATTGCTGACATCTTAGTGAAGCAAGGAGCTTCGGTCTACGCAGCTACACGGGTAAAATTCTTTACATTTGTCTAACAGTTGAAAAAATTACACAAGAATGTTAAAACTTTAAAGCCGTGTGACACTTCTRAACTGTTTGTGCTTTCCTACCTTGACAGATGGGTTACACACCTCTGCATGTGGCGTGTCATTACGGCAACATCAAGATGGTAAAGTTTCTCCTGCAGCATCAGGCCAATGTCAACAGCAAAACAAGAGTGAGCTCCTCCCACTCCAACAAATACAGGCTTGTTCACACAGTTTTAGGTGATGAGTTTGTTTGTACTCAGCCTTTTCTCTTTCTCAGCTTGGTTACACTCCTCTGCACCAGGCGGCTCAGCAGGGACACACAGATATTGTGACACTGTTGCTGAAACATGGCGCCCAGCCCAATGAGACCACTACTGTGAGGACGAGCGCCCCTTTATTTCTTCCTCGTTTTACCTCACGAAAGCTTTGTCTTCTCCAATCTGATCAGCCTGCCTCTCTCTGTCTAACAGCATGGTACTTCAGCGTTRGCCATCGCCAAGAGACTGGGCTACATCTCCGTGATCGACGTCCTAAAACTTGTTACCGAGGAGACAGTTTCCATGGTGAGAAATTTCGAAACTTCTTGTCGATGCATGTTATCTAATTGAAACAAACAACAGATTAAAACAATGTTGGCATTCTTTTTGCTTATTGCTGTCATCCCTGATTGTGTTTTTCTGGACCCTGCAGACCACCACAGAGAAACATCGCATGAGTTTCCCAGAAACTGTGGATGAGATATTAGATGTGTCTGAGGATGAAGGTAAAGATCTATATTAAACATATTTATTAGTAAAAAAAAATCGAAAGTTTAGATTTTTTAACTATAAAGATGTTCACTTTTTTCAACTTTTTTTGCCCTTTTTAGGAATTGCACAGCTAACATTAGGTATGAGTGTTCATTTAGTTTTTTTTTTTCTGCAGCATTCTTAGGCTGTCGTGAAACAGTGTTGCTTCATTTCAAGCTCACACATCTTTGTCTCTCTGCCTTTTCCTCGTTGTCTGTAGTGGCGCTCACTGTGATTGTAGCTCTGGTTTCTTGTTGGCATGATCCCACATCACTCATGTTTCTAACCTCTAATATGTCCCCTCAGAAACATCCTCATCCTTTTCTAACTCTCCAGGTGTTTTGTTTGTTTTGTTTGTTTGTTTGTTTGTTTTTACTCCCCATCTCACATGATTTATTGTATTTTTAGTAGAAATCACAGCCAACGAAAAGGTTTCTACCCTCACAGTTGATTGGTTTTGTTGGAGAGAATTGCCATGCGGTGTTTGCGTCAGTGGTTTATTCACCCGTAAATCYGCATCCACTGTGGTGTTCATTTTATGCTTTTAGACCATATAGTGTTCTTGCCATGTGAACTGTGTTTGTGAGCCAGGAGAAGTTGGAAAAAAAAAACAGTTGGATTTTATGTTAGAAGTAATCACTGTTGCGTCAACGACATGATGAAAAGAAAACAAACCACTTATAAAACAATGAATTAAAGAGCCTGTTTCAGTAAAAGATAAATGCTTTACAAATTCTCTTTGTGGTTAATTTTCACAGCTTGAGTAGCATTTTAGATTGAAAAATATTTATGACAACTGAAAATGAGACAGCAAAATTAGATAAACAGATTGACTTTACAGCAGCTCTAAAGCAATGCTATTTATCCTGACATTTGCAATAGTAAGATATATTTGGGACATTTTTATGCAATAATGTGAATAAAATAGTTTTGATTGGACATTTTGCATAGAAGTAAATGTGCAAGAAAAATAATAAATATTCACTAAAATTGATCAGATTAACTAAAACACAACTTCTAAACCAATGTTTTTAGTTGTATCTCTTATCACTTTCAAATTGATAATGGAACTTAAAGACTGTGTAAAGTAAAATCTAACATTTTCTTTTTTAAACGTTATAAATGTCATAAATGGATTGTTGTAAATGAGTACAAATTCTCTCAACTGTAGATAACTAACTGATGTTTTTTCATTACTTTTAACACATAATTTTATAAAGTTAACAGTATTTTTAATGGTTCAAACTTGGCTGGGTGATTTTTAACACATATTTCTGTGTTGTGACAACCTCAGAAGACACATTTATTTTTACTTTACACGGTCTTTAAGTTTCTGATTCTCTCAAGTGGCCAAAAAAATTCCTGTGTGTTCATTAAAGTTTCGAAAGGTGAGGTTTTCGAACACAACAAAATGAGGAACATCTTGTGTCTTGGTATTTTAGTCTGCTGATAATTCAACAAGCAGATTGTCGATGTGGCTCTAAATTTAGAAAACAGCTCAGCTGCCATCTTAAAGGCCCATATCTTCAACTGTAAAGTGATATTAGCAGATGATGTGATGCCCCCCCCC